TTTCTTTCCCCCCCTATTTTAATTGGTGGCGGTGTTATACTGACTATTTACCCTAAAAAGCTATGGTTTCTGAGGACTCTGCATTCGAGTGATGACATGGCATGACATGACATGACATGATGCACGAATACTTTCTTGGACTCCTGTTGAGGAAAGAAAGAGGGCTAGACACACCTGATCTTGCGCGTTACTTTTCTACCTCCTTTCCGCTACTTTCGCTGGCGGTACACGTACCATGTCGTGATAGATATGTCTACGTTATTCTTTATTCTTCAATTCAGACCGCAAGAGAAATGTGAGAAAAGGAATGAATCAGTGGATGGACGATTCGATGCTATTGGCTTTCACCCCACGCAAAGCCCGCCCTCCTTCAAATACATCGCTAGTTGGGTGGAAAATTCTCACATGCAGTTGTGGAATGCTGAAGAATGAGGAGGCGAAACAAGTGAGACTAGGAAGGCGGAGACATGGAGAGTACATTTGATATGATTTTTAGCTCACCTGCGTTTAGATTTCTCTCTAGCTCTTTTATCATTTCTTCCATATCTTTTATACTATACCCTCGTGCTTGTTAATTAGGTTGTCTTTCCATCCGCTTGCCGTATTCTCTTCTTGGCTTAATTCTCTTCTCCTCTGTTTATTTACTTTCTTACATGATAAGATTTTATTTCTTAGAGAGAGATAGAGCTGGTTGATTGTGCTTTGTGTATGATACAGATCTTCTTTGATTTCTCTGGACCTTTGTCTTAAAATTCTTCTCTTCCTTCTTTTGCTTGATTCTTGATGATGATGTATTTTCTCTCTTTCACTCATACTATCATCTTCTCTTTCTCTTTTTCATCTTTACAGTCTGTTCATCACGAAATGATAATGTTTGATATGGATGGGTGATTTGCTTTAGGCTTTTATTTTTCTCGTTTTCTCTATTGTTCTTTTTTTTTTTTTTTTTGTCACTTAATATCTTTGTTCTCTCCTAACTTCTTTTCTTCAATTCTTCTTATTTCATGTGTTCTGGCTTCTACTGGTATCTTTGAAACCTTTTTCTATTCTCATACCCTCAACATTTTTCATTTATACACCTATTGTAGCATTTTAACCTCCTTTCCTCTTTGCCTTCCATCTCAATTTAGTTCATTTGGTCTGGACCAGTTCGTTCCTGTATTCATTCTACTTATCTCATTTTCAAACATGCCATTGGACTTTCCGGCTTCTTTAACATGAGCTAATTCAATGCACATGGTTCCATAGAAGATATGATGTTCAATACTTGCATATCTATTGTACATCCAGATGATAGAGAACTAGATTCGAAGCGAGAAGTTTTTCAGCGCAAAATTCCAAATTGCTTTACTTAACCCGACCTCGGAAAAATTGAATTATTTTAAATAGCTCGCTTACATCTTTGCCTTGCCTCTCCTCTTTACGTTCGCCCCCCCTTTTTAATTAAAAAAAAAAAAAAGAAAAAGAAAAGAAAAAGAAAACAAAGTAATTATATATATACATGAAAACGATTTTTTTTTTTTTTTTTTTTTTTTTTTGGCTCGGCTCTTTAACAGTCCAACCCTGCAAATATATACAGTTGAAAAACTATTAAACGATAATAGTAAGAATAAGTAACAATAATGAAACAAATAATAGGGTACCATATACATCCACAACGATGCTGTGGCCGCAATCCCTGGGGATTCTATCGTTGAAAGTCAATGATAACCTCCAGCTTAACAGGACCAGGAGGCAAATTACCGCCAATACCGCCTCTTGCGGCGTCCTTGGCCGTATAGGCATTGTTAACACCTCCGCCACGGCTGATTGACGAGCATTGACCATTACCACAGATTTTCATCCCCTGCACCTGTTGACCAGCCAGCTGTGCCTGGATCGCAGAGACGTCGAAGCCAGACCAGCCATGATTGATCTTGCTGCCAAAATCGAATTCACCCCAGGTGGACGAGTACGACCCATACTTTCCCCTGGGAAGTGCGCTGCCAGGAGCCGCACTGAAACCTCCCTGTGTGTCCTCGTCGAAGGCCACAAATTTGTGTTCCCCCGGAGCGAGGGAGAAGGAGAGGGCTGAGTTGCCAAAGTGCCCATCCAATTTGCCTGTAGGGCCGAATTTGTTCCAGATGACTACGAGCCACGTTTCGGTGTTTTGTCCTGAGAATTCGGCGACGTATTTGTACTTAGATACGTCTGCCTCCGAAATTTCGATGATGTTGCTGCCCCAGGGTTTACCGACGTTGCCTACGTAAGTGTACCCACTGCCGTGGCTGCTGGTGCGGGCGCCAAAGCCAGTGTTGGTGTAGCTGCCAGATGCTGGGGACGGTTGGCCCATGGATGTAGGGTGATAGGGCCGTTGTTGCGGGGGGTGGGCCATGCCAAAAGAGCACATGGCGCCCAAGAGCGCCAGGGTGGTTTTGAATTGCATAATGGCGTAGGAATATATAAATAGGTAAAAAAATAAAAGTCCGAAAGTTTTCGAACAAATGGATTATATCGATATAATACTTGTATGTGGTGAAAAAAAAGATGAATTGAATCTGCTTCCACGGTGGGTAGACTTCATTTTTTATACATCCAGCGTATCTAAACACACCCATTCTCCTGTTGTAAAAGCTGGTGTCTCCATAGAACCACAAAGTTTGGTACCGAGAGATCCCGTCTCCCGCCCTCCCGAAGTACCAGTTCCTGAGCGGAAGGTTAATAAGATTAAGCGCGATCCAGCCCTAAACGGCTCCCAGGGAAGACGGTGTGTAAACGCAACCACGCTGCCACTGAGCACAACCATGGTCCGCCTGAATATATCGGGATAAGATAACAGATATTTTCCATAACGTTCTCTCAAGACGTGGAGGGCAAGGTTTGAAGAGTTATGGCAGTCTCAAGAAAGTAAGTCATGGCATCTGTTAAAACTCGTTCGAACAAATCCATTGGTTGAAGAAGAAGAAGGCAGTGCGGAAAGGCGCAAAAATAGGTCTCTGATTTTCTTCTATGACATGATTCTTGATCATAAGAATCGGCATATTCAGGTTCCTTAACATGTCTGAACTCCGTGGAAGGGCGGAGTCAGCACCTATTGTCTCCACGTTGTGAACTAGCGACGAAATGTGGTCCTTTGAGTGCATAATGCCACAAAATTCAAGTTGAAACAGGCTACCCCATTCGCCCGACTAGGGGTTAAACGAAGCACTCCCCGTTAAAACGGTGAATGAAAGGTTTCCGGTCGAGAGAGGACTGGATGAAAAGTTAACTGGTTATACGGAGAGACAAAAGACATGTGCATATTATTAATAAAGGATTAAAATTTCCAACACATGGACATTGTAAAAGAGGAGAGATATGTGGCGGATCAGGGGTAGAACCCGATCCAACGGCTGAAGTGAGGAGCCGAAGAGGGCAGTTAATGGATTAAGCTTAAGACGTGGGCTCTTGAGAAGGCGTGCTTGGGAAGATAACTAGATATCCATGGCTAAAAATACAGCCTCTGGGCTGCCGCCCGTGAGCTGCGAGCGTGACAAAAGCACGCATCTCAGGATAGGTATATCGCATTCTCCTGTGTAGGTCCTCTGTCTTGAAGTGAACGGGTGAGAAGCGGCAAGAAAAAGTTTGATGCTTTTAAAGCCAGGGTTAGGGTTAGGGTTAGGGTTAGGGTTAGGTAGTTAGGGCTGTGATTATATAAGCGATGGACACTTGAGGTCGTAGTGAAATCGACGGAGGGTTACGTGACATGCCTTGATCAACCAATGCCGAATATTTGAGCGGATACCGAGAATGGATGGAAATGTTAGGGAACATATGCCGTCCACGGGTAGCTCCAGATTAGCTTCGAGGATTCTGGTGGTCGCCGGATTAACTAGTGAATGATTTATTTCCCACCGAATCCAATCTCAGATCTGCTTTGGCGATTTCTTCCTAACGATTGCTTTGCGGCTTTTCCTACGCGACGTTCCAAAATTACACACAAGGACACCCTTAAAGGGAAACAAAGGAGAGCGCAGTCGTTTTCATGCTAGAGACAGTGAGATGTGGGACATAAAATCGGGCATCTAATACTTGTGACGCGAAAACGCGACGTCAACTGAGCATCCTCTCCTTGGCGTCTCTGCTCCAGCAAAGTTTTCTTTGGTTGCAGAGCTGACCTGGTAGATCTGGACGGCTAAACGGACAACCTTGCGATAACCATTTGGTGGCATCCACATGCGCATGGGCGTTTGATTTATCTGCGTTTTGGGTTGAATCACATCATGGAAGCGTCAAATATAGTGGTGTCACAGCTCGCATGACCAATGTTAAGAACTGCGAAGTTCTAGAGAAAGCTGTCCTCATCGCTACACAACGCAGAGCTAGTGAAGCTGAGTAGTGAGCCTCCATCTTGGCGAAATGGTAGAGGCTGGAGCGCAGCCCTACAGCATGGTGGGAAAGAGTTCACGTCGCCATGGAACGTCCACCTTTACAGCGAAGACAATTTCGTAACCCAAAAGGTAACTTTATTGCCACCTAGAGCAAGAGAAGCTTTGGGCTTTCTCTCCCAGTATTGCGCAATTTATGACCTTTGCCATCAAGGCGTTGCCATATTATTTGCAGCATTGGCATTGCCAATCACAGTCTCTTCGCCAGACCTGCAGCACTTCCCCCAACCCTGCCATATTGCACAACAAAAACCCAATGTGATGAGCGAAACTCATTTTCTGGCTTCCTTCCTCACATTCCCTGCTTTATAACTATCAGCCTTACGGGTATCGCCCCTATCTTACGGAGTGCTTTTGTATGATCTAAAGCCCTGCCGTCATGTGTCTGGAGCTTGATAACCCGAATTTTCGCTGAATGGCCCACTGAATCTGAAAAGGCCGCAATAGCTGAATATACTCATGCGCCTACAGTTGGAGCACTATGGATAGGCTCTTCGATAACATCCCTTGTCTCAAGAAAATTTATGGGACCCTGGCTGGCTCTGGTAAATGGAGGGCTCACCTGCCAGTATCTAGGAGGGGCACGATCCTCAGATGGCATCAGGTGGATCACTTATTCCGGGTGCTGAAGAGGCATTTCTACGCATTATCACTTCAGCACGAAGGTCAGAACTTCACCTTATACAACCCCATTATCTCCATGGAGCCAGCCTGGTGAGTCCAAATTAAACATGAGCTATCTTGGCTTCCAGCGCCATGCAATCGGTCATGTCATCTCCGCTTCAAAAGTTGGTTTTGGGAAAGACTTGAAGGAATGGTAGATTATAGGGGATTTTCGGATACTAGGTTATTCGAAACCTGAAGAACCAATTTCCTGTTCTGAGTCACCGATTGGCGGGACTATCACTTATTTCCACGACTGGGTGTATGCCACACGAGCGATATTTCAATGGTTGAAAGAAATAAGAGGCCCGGAAGCTGATCAGACTGATGTCAACACCGATGAATTACTCCGGGTGTTCGAAGAAGATAGCGATGTAGCTGGCTCCGCGTTCTTTGATGCGGATGATGTGAGTTGGACGATGAGGGGAAAATCCAGTCTCTCAGACTACCGCATCACAAATGCATCCTAACTATTCAAGTCTTCGCCTTAAACCCAACATCTCCTTATCCCCGGGATAATCGGGTCACTTATTGCATATCCCATATAGTTAGGCGGAACTGGTTCACCGTCGGGGTATCCGGCATATGGCTATCTGGTAAAAATCCGGTGATGCGAGGATCGCAGCTTCACAGTGGTATATAAAAAAGCTGCTACGCCAAAGCGATTTTTGCCTTTGATGGCGTATTAGGTTTGATCAGACTGTAGTTCGGCTTGGCAGCGTAGTATAGAACCAAAAACTGTGGCAAGTAGGCATTATCACCATACAGCGAATGGTTCCATTAAAGATCAAAGGGTCTGGTTCCTCCGCTACTTCGAGCGCGTAAACCACATTACAACCCTAGTTGTGGGGCATATCCAGATTCTGGCTGTCAAAAGCGTAGTGTTTAATCAGGTTTTCTTCCAAGGTTGACCGGCTTCCGATCCCGATTTCCAGACGGCTTCTCGGCAATTCTCAAACCCACATTGCTGACCCCGGTGACTAAGATCCACCATCCTGGAATCGAGGCTGCAATGTGTCCCCGATGTCACATTCGACAGTTGTATTAGCTGACTAATTTAGTTATGCCCGACCCTTTGCTGTGCCGTGGTGGATTATCTTAAAAATCGAGTCTTGATTATCCACCGTCGTTCCAGAATCCACAATGTGCATAAATATGATGGACCTAGTCAGATCAACAAAATTTGGGATGAAGACCGGACGCGGGCCTGGGTGCATCCATTAACTGACCAAATATTCTCTCCGTTGTGCTGCTTCTTCGAGTATTATCGTGACATGTAGTTGCGTAGATGCAATGAGACTCACCAAGCAACCCTTTTATCCCGCTCCTTTTGGTGAATCTAGTTTCATATTCATATCCTCATAATCAAAGGTCATGTAGAGAGCTAGAGATACAACGTGTGCACCTGCCTTCCCATAGCTTCAATAAACCACTTCATAATATTGAAATTGATCGTTAAAAATATGCAACAATAAACGAGAAATGCCCACATATGCCCGCCAATTTAATCATAGACGAAGAGTTAATATATAACATCCACAAGCCAAAAAGGAAAAGGATTTTGCAATTGTATCAAAACCTCCTCGTCTTGTCGCCCCTCCAGAAACCCATAAGCTCGCCCGTGTCCCCCATCCACTCCCGTACGCCATCCACCAAGGCCTTGGCCATGCCCTTATTCTTTAATTTCTTATCTCGATCAGCCTGCGATGACGCAGCTGTAGCACCTGTCGCATACTCGGAGCCCATACTTGGGAGCACATTCTCACCCGCGCTCAGGCTCACAAACAGCGCAAACGGCACCAGCCACACACAGAGCCCAAAGTACGAAGCAACCTCCGTGAAGGACGGCAGGTCTGGTGGCGTGTCGTAGTAATGATGTTGTCTGTTGGTACTTTCATCTGTTGTCCAAGGCATTGGGGAACCTTGCGAGAGGGATGTCGGGTTCGAGAAGTGGCGAAACCAGAGCCAATGGTTAAGGCCAACAAGGAGGCATGAGGTAATAAAGATAGGATCTGAGAGCTTGACAATGGGGAAGCGGCGCAGGTTGAGGGAGTAGATGTAATGGGAGACTATGCTGAAGGAGCAGAGAGTGAAGGGAAGATGGTCGACTAGGCAGAGAGGGATGTGTACGGCTATTATGAAAAAGATGAGACGGGAAAGAAGGCGGCGGGCGAGCACGGTGTGTTCTTCGACCAACTCGGAGAGGTAGTAGAGGCCGGAGGCTAAAGGAGTTTGTTAACCTATCTATTATTTAATATATGATGTATGGAGCGTTCGTTACTTACCTATGGCGAGGGTGAGGAATGCAAATCCCACGACTAAGCCCAGGTAACCGACCAAAGGAAGAATCCACATGTTGCGGCGGGAGAGAATACGTAATATACAGAGGGAAATAGATTCTTCGGTCTGCACGCGGAATACAGATATGTTCTGTTAAACCGACATCTTGCTGTATGTGTTGCCCGGTATACGAATATACAGAAATTATGCAGAATACTGTGGTAAAGTTGTCCTTTAAAATGTTGGCAGATTGGACATTCGAGGTGCTGACGTTGTTCCCAAAGAGGAAAAAAGCAAACCTCTTGAATTTTCCCACAGCCACCAACTTTTTTATTACTTTTAACCGCTCCAACGATTCATAAAATATTTAAATACACCGGCGCGCTGAAAGCTCCTCAGTTTTCAAAATACAGGAGGGAAAGAGCAGGATAACAGCATATTACCACGACGAAGAAGAAGACCCAATTAATAGGAATACCCCATTTTTTCGTCTGAATATTGTATGCAGAGGGGGCACATTTCCTCCTCTTGACCACATCAACAACCACACAAAATGTCCCGTCCAGAAGACACTCTGTATGTTGTTTACAAATCTTCAATAGCCAAGTCAAATATTGCTATAATTACCCTATTCTTAAAGCTTCCCTCTGCTAACGTTTGGTATACAGGCCCCCCGACCTCTTCTACAATGACTCCGAATCCCGCAAATACACTACCTCCTCGCGAATCCGCAACATTCAATCAAGCATGACCCAACGCGCCCTCGAACTGCTCGACCTCAAATTCCCTTCTCTCATTCTAGACATAGGCTGCGGTTCTAGCCTATCAGGCGAATTGCTCTCTTCCGTTCCTCAGTCCGAAGGCGGGCCGCACACTTGGATTGGCATGGACATCTCACCTTCCATGTTGGACATTGCTTTGCAGAGAGAAGTTGAGGGTGACCTGTTTCTAGCAGATATTGGACAGGGTGTCCCATTTCGTGCTGGAACGTTTGACGCTGCTATTAGTATCAGTGCCATCCAGTGGCTATGTAATGCTGAATCCAGCGATGTTAGTCCTGAGGGCAGGTTACGCAGATTCTTCGACGGGTTATATGCTAGTTTGCGTCGGGGTGCACGTGCTGTGTGTCAGTTCTATCCCAAAAATGACGCACAAAGGAGCATGATTAGCGGTGCGGCGATGAAGGCTGGGTTTGGCGCTGGTATTCTGGAGGACGATCCGGGGACGAAGAATAGCAAGCTCTACCTTGTGCTGACAGTTGGTGGAGGTGGGCTGCAGGGGGATATCACTGGCGTGGTAGAAGGTATGGATGATGTTGATGTCTTGGATGCGAGGAAAAAGGCTATGGACGGTCAATCTAAGGGGAGGAGAGGTGTCGACCCAGCCCGTGTCAAAGGCACCAAAGCTTGGATTACGAGAAAGAAAGAGCAGATGGAACGCAAGGGGAAAATTGTTAAACCTACATCAAAATATACTGGCCGGAAGAGACGTATCGCGTTTTGATCGCGTATCCCTTCCTTCTACCGTCCATACATCTTGTCGACTCACCCCACAAAATACCTCTCTACCGGCGCACGCGGGGGTGGGACGAACCTGCTAGAGCTCTATCTACTACGGGATGATTGAGAGACCCGTCATAGAATAATGCGAACGGATTACCCCGTAAATTGGCAACTCTATGGGAGAAAAATGCCTCATGTCTCCGCCCCGCAATCCTTTAAATAAACCCGCCCCATTACCACTGGGGATATTGCAACGTCATACGATCCCAGTCTGACCAAAAGCTTCAAAAACCAACCCCACCCACCACTCCCACCTAATATAAGAATTCTATCCATCATATTCCTTCTAACCCGACCGCAGGGGGAAACACAAGACGGCGACGATTTGCTCGTTTAGGAAACAATGGAACACACAGAAGGACATCGTTTTATTCAATTGAAAACACGATATATGTCTAATTCTTTCAATAAAATTAGAACGACGGGGACTTGGTTCCAGGGAGCTGATTGTATCATTCATCCCATTCATCCCATTCCGCACCATGATGGATGAAACGAAGCGAGAAACAAATTTTCTTAGAATCAAAGGAATAGATTCCAAATCAAAGAAAATTCCTCGAGATAGAAACAGGATGGGAAACGTGAGAATAAAAAATTCCAAACCGGCTCAGGTGTCTACATGCTTCATAGTTTATTTCCCTTCGGAGTCCGTCTTCTACCCCAATTAACGCTAGCTCTACCTCTCCGCAAACGACAAAATTATATATATGTATATATACATTGTGCATTATATATTTTCCAGCTCATCAGTTGTCCCTTGGGTCCACCAACACGTTTGTGCTATTTCCGTTCTCTCGGGTGCCAAGTCAAATGGGATCCTGGCAATGTGGACTTACAAAAAAATAAGGTTCTCGGTTTTAACATTTCGACCGGAAAGGGGTTTGAATAGGAGGAGTAAACTTATAGACAGCTATGTGATGGATACTACATATGTAGTGATATCAGATGGGCTTCGAGACAGGAGTAGTCGCCCAATGCTTCAGGAGGACTATGTGGAGATTTTGATGTGACTCTGACAATGTATCTTGCGGTTTGATGTGTTTTCCAAGGTTCTATCATTGTTCATGCATGCGTATGTTCATAGAAATGCGTATAAATTTAACTGTCTCAAGCAATATTCCAGACATATGAAACATTTTCTTAAAGGTCAATTAATGTATGTCAGATCAAAATATGTTACACTGATTCAAACATGAAATAACAACTTTTCATAAACTTAATTTTATATTATACTGTAATATTTCTTTCCACTTCTCTTCTGGCAATGCTTTGCTTTGCTTCATCGAAATTTGAAATGAACGGAATGGAAATTCTAGGATAATATCTGGAGGAAGAAAATGTTGAGAAAATATACATGTATATAAAAATCAAGAACTGTTATAGCTAGATCCCATACAAACAACAAAAAGAATAAGCACAAGATAAAATGGTAAACAAAAATAAGTAAGGAAGCATTTAGCTGAGGTCATCCTAGAGTCCATGTACAGTATATGGGTTGCGTACGTTGCGTTGCGTAAGGAAGTGAGGCAGCCAGTTGTTCTCACTGGTGATAGGATTCGTTGCGGGACGAAGGAGTTCTGGTCTATGAAAGGGAAATGAGTCAATGAAACGAAGTAGAAGCTAGGTAGGGAAAATAACATAGTCTAATCGCTAACACAGAATCAAAAGCTTTTATATTTGAACTTTATAAAATATCATTTGTTTCCGGCTGCTGCACATCGGGGAGAAGAAAGGGCAGTCGAGGAAGACTGCATGTGCATTATCAATACCATATTATTAACTTATTGAAAATGCGGAGTCGAGCTTTGTTGCCTATGGATGTTAATGCGGGGAGGGACAAGAACATATATGCATCGGGTTAGGTAAGAATCCGTTGGATTTCGCTTTACAGAGCGGCTTCCATCTTATCCAGGACAGCACGGGTGAATTCATTGGTAGTGGCTTGGCCGCCCATGTCACGAGTGCGGACGACTCTGATGATTTCACAAAAGATGGTTAGCAACGAAAGTCTAGACAGAAAGACGGTAAGGTTCTCCTGATGCCCCTGAGGGCATGGAGTATAAAATAGGGTTCACTTACCCCTCTCCGATCACGTCATAAACTGCCTTAGAGATTCTGTTGGCATGCTCGTCAAGACCCAAGTGGCGCAGGAGCATGGATCCAGAAAGGATCAGTGCGGTGGGGTTAGCTTGGTCTTTGCCCTTGATATCGAGTCCAACATGTCTACATCCAGGCTCAAAGACAGCCACTTCACGACCCATGTTACAGCCGGGGACGATCCCAGGACCACCAACAAGAGCAGCCCCGACGTTGGAAAGGATGCCACCGTATAGGTTAGGCATAACCATAACATCGAACTGCTGAGGGCGAGAAACTGCTTGCATGGATGCGTTGTCTACGATCATGTCGTTCGCTTCCAGTGTTGGGAAGCTCTCAGCAACCTTGTGGAAGGTCGAGCGGAAGAGACCGTCGGCCAGTTTCATGATGTTAGCCTTGTGAATGCAGGTGACCTTCTTGCGGTTATTGGCGAGAGCAAAGCTGAAGGCAAACTTCGCGATCCGTTCTGACTTGGCACGCGTGATGATCTTGAGGGATTCAACGACACCGCTAACGGACTCGTGCTCGAGACCAGAGTATTCACCTTCGGTGTTTTCACGGATAATGCACAGGTCCACATTGTCATGTCGAGTCTTGTAACCGGGGATGTTCTTAATCAAAATAATAGAGGCGTAAATGTCGAGTTCTTGGCGCAGGGCGACGTTGAATGATTGGTGGCCGGATATTTCGACTGGGGTATGGAGGATGCCCTTGAGACCAAGCTTGTTGCGTCTTAACGAGGCAATGGATTCTTTGAATAGATCTTCTGAGCGTTTATTCCCGACATCCACTCCGCTGACGTCGACCTGTTCCCATTCAATTGGTACGTTGTCAGCCTTGAAAATTGTTTTCACCGATTCCGCTACCTCCGCGCCGATACCGTCACCTAGAATTAAAGAGCAAATACGTTCGTTAGCATCACAATCTCCTCTTAATAACGACGTTGAAATTACGCAATGGATAAAAAAGAGAGTTGAATACCTGGTATCAGTGTGACAGTGTATTTGCCGCCATACTTGGTTGGCTTAAATATATCCGATTGAACGGTAGCAAACGCTGGGTATTTAAATTACTAGTTAGCAGCAGGAGTGGAGATTGAGGCTAGAAAATATAAATAGCGTATACTTCTGGTAGCAATTGAAGACCGAGAGAGGCACGTAGAAGAATTCTTAGCGATAGTGCAAAAGAGAGACTATGAAAGTTAGGCAGAGTTAATATAAGAGCGGGGTGGTGTTGGTTAGCCGCGTCCTGGGCGGAAGATAAGGGTGGCCACGATCAATTGTGAGTAATACATACCTGCGCGGACTGCGCAGTTCTCAGAGAGAACATGGTGGATGTAAATGAATGAAAGTGGCTGAAAATTAAGCCAATTGAGGGAGGGCGGAGGGTAATGCAGGTGGGTGTGTAGACGGAGCAGCGGTAGACCTCAGTAGTTGTTGGTGAAGTTGAAGTTCAGGACGAGAGATTTTTCTTTTTCGGAACGCGGCTCCGCAGAGGATTGACTTAGTCACATATTAGGTAATGCGGCATGCTTCCACGGTAACTAGTTCTTCCAACCACGAGAGTCCATTGTTTATATGTTGGACGTGAGGAACCTGTATTCTGTGTTCACGGGTGACTCGGCTCCAAGAAGTCCAACTAAAACGTCACTGACGATTAGTTAGTTACTCTCTACGGAGCATGCCTTGGAGCTTCATGGGTGGCTACATGCAAGCGAAATAAAGGTGCAGGTCCGATCTGCTACATTCGAGATTCTCCTCGCAAATCATCCTTCCATGGATATCTATATTCTCCTCCGGCCTTGCCTGTAAGGAGTGTCAGTCGGATGTCATTGAATACTCTTTTCAGGCTGTGGAAACAGCACGCCATCTGGGCGTACACGGTTCCAGTCTTAAAGAGCTGAGGCCCACCAAAACTTCCTGTCGGTTAGCCTGTGATTTCCAGTTGCATTCGGAAATTGTGAGCTTGAATGGTCACTCATAGGCTCCTCCATTATTCATTCCAGTACTTTAAATCACAATTAACGCTTCAGTACTGTTGTCTACAAGAGGCTTCCAAGAAGGCAGGTCTCTATCCAAAATATATCTGCGTAGTTGAAGCTTCTTATTCACTGGTTAGCCCAAACTGCAGAGACAGACCATTTCTCCAATTTTTTCAGTAATGCCAGAAGTTTTTATTTCGCTTTTGCACTTTGACCGTTCGCTTAATAATTTTTGATAACAATGATAATTAGGCAATCCGGACCCTACAATTTTATCATAAATCCTAAAGTAACTGACTATTTTGAAAATAACTCCTGTCGTAGGCCGTGTAAAAGGAACTTCCCAGATAAGAGGAAGATCTCCAAAAGAACCTGGCAGTCAGTGGATCACGTGATACAGGAAAGGATAAATACATACATAATCAATCACTTCCATTTCAACTGCTCTGTCCCATCTCAGCCTCCCACTCCCGACACGTACGCCACCTGTGTCAACCCGTCCAGTACTATAGTCGATAGCATTGAACGGGATGCTTTTATCGTCAATTAAGGCCTTTTTCCACCAATAACAATCTATCTTCAATATCCTCGTGGATCTCTCAATGAATCATGGCCCTTTCAGTTTGCCAAATGGCGAAAACCCATTCCTATTCAGATTCAGGTTGACCATCATACCGGGACGTCAGGATGATCTTGACAACCTTTTATCTTCGTTATTCTTTCTTTTTTATAGTTTCTTTCTCTTTTCTCTAACACTTAGCTCATTTTCTCTGCCGTTGATGAGCTAGCTGCGTGATCTCACCCCATGAAACATCAAAGGGTTTAAACTTGTCCTTGAGGATCGGATCACTCCAAGCGAGAACCTCCACGTCCACGCGACTGCCATACGCTAGCAAGCGTTCATATTGCATCTTCGCAAACCCATGTTTCTGGATCATCTCCCTGTGGGCAAAGAAGTGGAGTTCGAACATCCTGGATTTGGCCTAGTATTAGGGTTGAACTCTGCCCATTGATACCCCAATGCGGAAGTCTCTCAATAACCCGCACCTATCTTTCACCATGCGGCCATTGCAACACTTTATGCATTTCTCATCTTCTTCTATCTTAGAGGGGGGTTGGACGACTGGGTTGTATGTAGAGATACATGCAGGTCAACCGTTTCCAGAAGCATAAGCCTCCTCGCGTCCCCATCCTCGTTTAGGAACGCCTGGGGATAGTCGTTTCGTCACGGCTCTGAAGAACATACACATTTTCATCCATCGTTCGTTTCATATTGAGTTTACCCCCGGGTTTACCCCAAGGACAAATCTCAAGTGAATACGTTGCTCTCAATGGCCCATTGGGCCGTTGAATCACGTCTCCACATCTTTTCCGCTGTGTTCGTCTATTCTCTGCCCTTGAAGATATTTACTTTCTTTATTCCCAACACTTCAACACAGACCCTTCAGACATATCTCCATTGTCAGCTTCTAGTCTCCTATCTCAAGGACCTTTTCTATAAAGTCGCTCGCTGCATCCCAGGTTCTCTCATCTTGCTCCTCTTATGCAAGACAGCGATCCGATAAACCCAGGCCACTCCACATACCCCACAGACCAACAGACTCTTCCTACCAAAACTTCTGTATCTTAGTCCCCATCAACAGACATGAAGCTCGTTGTGGTTTTCCTTGCATTGGTGTCCGCTTTCGCATGGGCCGTTGCCATCCCAGAACCCCAGCCAGCTCCTACCGTTGAGATTCCAAAGAATGCGCGTAAGTAGACGTCCACTGCAGCTTACCCATGCATCTCTATAGAAAGTGCCAATAAAGCCTATTGACTAACCTCTTCTAGCCGTTGAGAAGCGCTGGTGCACTCGTCCTGGACAGGGTTGCTAGTGGAATTCAACACCACAGCGACCATTGACTGCCATGGCAGTCGATAATGGGGTCCCAATCTTCGGACTCCTCCATCCTCTCCGCTTCGACCTGGTGCTACGAGCGAGAGGAGAGCTCTATCTGCCTTTACGCATCTCGTTTCTAGTGTTCGACTTGTTATCATTCTTAAATACCGAACTTATGCGGAGTGCATATTCGAGATACTTACATCGACTTTTTGCTAGCACATTTTGTTCTTTCGTTGCTTGATCCGCGATTCGTGTGTATCAATATGACGTACGAAGACTCAGCTTTTACTTCGACATGTGTCTCATTAACTGATATGTCCGCGGCACGATGAGCGCACGCAGAATACAACAATGGGCTCGATATCAATGGAATATTACTGCTCTTCATTCATCGTATGCACTTGTACGACAAAGGATCCGCGAAAGGAAAAAGAGGAAAATGCGAACAAGGAGAAAGACCAAGTTGGATCTGCCCCTTTTGACTGCCAAAAAGTCTATATTCCTTCATTTGACCTCTCTCACAAATGACACTGGGACAAACACACCTGGCTTTTCCAGTCCCTCCCGTCTTCTCTTGCTTTATCATTGTGACGCGCTTCCCCTTCGAAATCGAACTCGAAAATGCCCACTTTTCCGCTCCGCTTGCTTATATGTATGACTTTAATGTTCCCCAACTGACCTGTGTCCTTGCCTATTCTGCGTATTTCTTTTTCTTTCCTTTTTTTTCAATTACCGGCTGTCTAAATGCTCCATCCCCGCCGTGTATGTGAATTTCTCCATATCTTGTCCATTTGCTCCGAGGCACCTATTCCTCAACGCCCTGCCTCCGAAGTCCATACACGCATTTTCGCATGCACATTGGATATCTAACCTACATACATTCTTTAGATCCATTCATATGTTATCATTGAGGCACATGCATAACATCCCGTTGGAAAGTTGTCTTGTGCAATGGTGGAATTACGTTATGGGGAGGGCATGTTATGTTTATGCTTTATGTGTATGTGTGTGTTCACTATTGTAATGATGTGCTGTACATGAACTTTTTATGCTACCTGTAAATAGATACGTGATTACAATGTGAATGAGTATATACTGATGTCTTTTTCATCTATTTTCTCATTTTGACCTTGCAATTGTTTTAACTATAACCTTGTGATGAGATGATGCTGCGAATGGACGAAAGCTACGAGAATTTCTTCTTTGTTGGTTTGCTCACCTTGTGTAACTAACATACTTCAGATAGCTACACACCTAGGTAGTTATATCTCATCCAATGCTTTCCAGACTACGAGAATAGAATACACGTTCGTTTTAAATAATAAGGAGCAGATTATGCATATCCAAGTGGAAGGAAGAGGAAAAAAAAAAAAAAGGGCCAAGTTGGTTTTGCGTGCATCATCACGATCATAACTACCTTCCTTGCGCAGGGAAGTGGAAGCTGGATTTAAACTCAAAGTTCCAATCAAACACCCAGAGTAGCCATAAAGTCAGGTACTTGGGGAAGATCGAATTCAATCCAGTTGAACGTATTGAAATGATACAGAAATGAGAGGGGGTGACAAAAATGAAACAGAACATATACCAGGAAATCGATAAGGAAAACAATTAAGTATCCCACCATTTTCAAATCTCCATTCTTTCAACAAAATCCCAAACGAACAAACAAAACTGCAAAACTAACTACAGCATCTCTTGGTCATCCAGCCGATGGCCCCGCCAAGGCTCACAACCCATATACATGTTGCTGCGCTGCTCAAAAGCGCCATACTGATCCTCCATCGGCTGCAGCAGCAGCTCTGCCTCTGACGGGCTCCTTCCTTGCCCCTGCTGCTGGTGGCCCCACAAGTTATTGCCTTTATACGCCGGGTCAACGACTGGTTTGTACGGTGATAACGACGCGGGTTGTGACTCTGCCGCCGCATCTGTAAACGCGTGTTCACACGCATCCTTGGCTGATGATGCATCATATTCGCGTTGTGCGAGGGCTTCATAACCCGACATAACATACGGTTCTGCGTGTTGGTTATCTTGATCCATTGCGTCCCTTGCATCCTGCATAATATCTGCCTGTAAAGAGGAGGAAGAAGAAGCAAGAGCCGATGTCGGCCCGCCAGAAGCCTGCAGAGACATCAGATTTCCGGTTTTCGGCTGCGAAAGCTGCCACAGCTCAAGCAGCCGCGTCTTTTGCTCGAATCCGGCTTGTGCGAACAGAGTTAGTTGTGACGGGAAGAGAGAGGACGGGTCCACGTTGTTGAGGAATAGCATTTCTTCCGCTGTCATGCCAGACTGCTGCATGTCGCACAGAATTGAAGAGAGGGTGGACCAGCCACCCGATGAAGGAAGTTGGTGGGCGGAGTGGTGGTAGTGCTGGGATATGTTGTAGATTATCGGGCGGGAGGTGGGAGGGGTGGAAGGGGTGGAGGATGGGGACGTTTCAGGGGTTCGGGACCTAGCTATAGCTGTTTGAGGGGGCATTCCTGGCTTTGGATTGTTGATGCTGCTGCTGGCATTGGTATTGACATTTGCCTGAACGCTCATCTGACGGGCAAAAAGGGCAGCTAGGTCGTCTTGCATCTTGGAATTGCCCTCCGATGCGGATATGCCACACTGGGGGGAAATTGTTAGTGGGGAAAAGGGGTATGGAAAGGGGGATATGCTGTTCTTGTAATATCAACCTGATACAGGGGAAACATAGCAAAGATACTTAAATAGAATAGAAAAGGTTACCTGATGGCAGGAAGGATTCTCAGCAAAGGCAGCAAGGAAATTTGAGATCTCTGAATCATGACCGCAAAATGTACAATGATGCAACACTGAAGAAGACATGTTTTGCTTTCTGTCTTAGGCCCCTTTCTTTGTTTCTCTAGAAAGAAGGGGTTTTAACAGATGGAGGATTTTGTTTCTTTTCTCAAGGCACACAAGGATAGGGAGAGGAAGAATGCGGTGGCAGCAAAGTCAATCTGTATCTTGTTTCTTTTTCAGACTATGACAACAACTAAGCTAGCTAATTATCGTAGTATATCTAAACTGTCGGGTTTCTGTAAAGTCCTCGATTTCAAGCAATGGAGTTAGAGAGAGTGTCCGCGACCAGAATCCAGAGGGTGTAAGCACCGGTCCAGGAGGATTCCAGGAGGATTCCAAAGGCAAGCCTTGGAGAAGGTAGTGAATCCAGGGGATCCAAAAAGCCCAAACTGATAGAATGAATAACAGGTAACAGATACTTCAGAATCTGAAAGACCTGTTGGGAGATATCTGGTATTTAACGAGGGAAATATGAAGCGTTGAAGTGAAGTTGAAGTAGAGAAAGTGGTGAGGTGGGAAAAGTTGATGTAGAACATTCAAAACTAAGTTCAGGCGGTTATTTATGCCCCGTGACGTGTTAGTCTACATTGTTAACTTAACGTAATCCACCACCCGGCGGCGGATTCTCTCTGAAAATCATCAAATATTCAATGTATTCAACAACCAACACGCTTAAATATTGAAATATTAATAAATTAAGACTATCTAATAGTTGAATATATTTATTTATTAGGGCAACTGTGTATAGTATGTTCAATAGTCTCACAGCCACTGCAGTGTGGTGGAGCTCACTGATAAAACATAGCTTCAATCTGAGCTTTAATCTGCATATAAAGCTGGCTGAACACGCTCATGATCTTCCTGTATAGATAGAATAGTATTTTGACCTAGATTAGCATGCCTTCATGTCTATTTCTTCATCTTCCACTTATTCTCTGCTTGTAGAATCTTGATTTCTTGATGAAGAAGATTTGAATTTATAGTCATTTGTTCAACCTTTTCAAGATGTTGAAGATGAAATATTGAGTTTGTAGATAACTGTTGCAGCGCAGCTGCTTGTATATGGATTAAGGTTGATCCGCCCCGCTACACTCAAAAGGTTGATTCATTCCGGCCTCGACTATATTCGGTTGCTCAGGTTGATCTGCTCTGATCCCCAACCACTTCACTCCAAAGGTTGATCCGATCCAATCCCCAACCATCTCTATATATTCGGCTGCTCGTTCATTCCACATTCTAATCCCCAGTTTAGTATTCTCGTCGCAGCTGCCTAGTTAGATAGATGAATTGAAACTGTTTGTCTTGTTATCATCTTGACTCTAGTTGAGCCTTGACAATAACTATCTCTTCTTATTAAAACTTTTCTGCAACTGCTGACTCTTATGATCAAGTTAATGAGTAATTTGAAAAGTTTGCAATATTAATTAAAGATATTGAGCTCTCAGCATTATATAATGATAAATACATATATAACTAAATCTAAATGCTGTATTATTCTGAGATGGAACTCTGTAACTGCGTGATTTAAATGCTATTATAATAGTTAAGATTATTAAAATAGTCAAATCCTAGCTTAATTAGATAGATGTCATAGTTACTGACTAAATACACTTTAAATAATGAATAATAATAATAATATATATATATATATATAAATAAAAGATAATTTTTATTACTTTTCTTTTTTTTCTTCTTTATTTTAGATATATGCAGTCAAAGACTATGATATCTATTTAATTAAACTAGAATTTAACTATCTTGTAAATCTAATCAGTAATCATGATTTAAAACATATAATTATAAAATTATATCTCAAGATTTTACAGCATTTAAAAAAACTTATAGCAGAAGACATGTTTATATAATTTTATTTAATGAAAAATTAATAGAGCATTCAATATCAATATCACAAATAAAGAAATTTAAATATTTTAAAGAAAATATTGATAAGTAAATAAAATATATAAAAAGTGATATATTTTAAATTTGATATTTGCTAATTGTATACTTTAAATGTAAGTCTCATTTAAATTAAAATTTATTATTCTCTAAAGACAATTTTTATTATCTCTATAAAGTTAATCAGAAACTTTCTTCTTAATTCAGTATTAAAAAATATAATTATTTAACTGACTATTAAAGTATTTTTCTTTTAACTAACTTGTTTTTTTTTTTTTTTTTTTTTTTTTTGAAATATTAAATATTTAATAATTCATTAAAATATAATTTAAATTTTTAATTAAGTTATAAAACTCATATCTGTTTGAGTTTGTGGAATTTTTAATTCTTTTTATATAGAATTTAAAATAATTATATTCAAGTTTCAATTATATTATACAGAAAAAAATTTCTTTCTACAATTTATCAATAAATACTTTTATTTTTAATTTCATTTCACATCTTACATATTGACTATTTTTCATTTCTTTTTGTTAAAGCTTTATTCATTTATCAAGACATAATTCTTTAATTTTTCTTTTATTATAAGATTTAGAAGTAGTTTTTTGAGTTATTTTTTGAGTTTCAGTATCTTTTTTTGCAGCTCAGTGTCACGGCTTCAATCTAGGCGCAGGTAAACAGGTGTTTGATTGCCAACCAGGTAAGCTAATTCGACAAAATACTAAGATGCTCTGCGAAACAGGGGCCTAGGGAAGCCTCTCCTTTTATACCCCTTTCCCACTAGCGGTTGCTATACCGTTGCTAGGCCGTGGATATAATCCTTTTCGGTTAATGCCAGTTTCCGTAGCCCAGTAGACATACGCCGTCAGAACGCAGTAGCCAGTGCCGTAGCTAGCGCCATCACACTCAGTCTGCTTTTTCATTTCTTAAGATATCTATATATAAAAGGTTATGCCCTAACCCTCATGATACTCAGGCTCTGCCTTGATTGAACCTGCGCTATCAAAGCAGCGCCTCCACCACCGAGGCCTTCGTACGATGCCTCCACCCTATTTGTATACTACCGAGGCGGCGCCTCTACCACGGAGGCGCTTCAATCATCCTCGTGTAAAACCCCTTACTACTGAAGCCTGCCCTATATAAAAGAAGTCTGATTCCTTCATGATATATCTCTCTTTCTCCTTTCTTAACGATTTCTTTTTGTTTTCATACGCGTTACTTACCAGCTATTCTCAATGACTAGCCCGTTACACTATATAAGCAGACATTTAAAATAAATAAAATTGAATATTTTTATCTTTTGACTTCTTTTTTTTATTATATTTAAATTAATTTAAGATTTATTTGATTATTTTGAATCTTATGTTTCTAAAGTTTTTTTAATATTGTTTAACTATCTGAAAATATTTAAATATTTTTAATATTAGATTATTGAATGATAATTTTACTCACTATTATAAAAGATTTAAAATTGCAAATAACTCAGTATTAAATACCTCATATTTCATTTCTAAATTCTAGAAATATAGCTTATACTTAGAATTTAATTTAAATATATCAAAGTTATACTAGCTTTTATATATTGTTGTTCATTTTCTATGTCATCTGAGTATATGAGTAAGAAATCTTGCTTGTTAATTTTTTATAACTTTTGAATATATATAGTTTTTCTCTTTTTTTAAAAAAGTTTACTAATAAAAATACTTATTAATGAGTTTAGTTTTTCATTTCAAAGAGAGCTCATTGTGATTTATATTTTTCACATTTAAGCTTGATAATTGATCTTTAATCATTGTATATTGTATTCTATAAATTTGAGAAGATAAAATCTTTTTTAAATCCTCAGAATATTCATTTCAATCTAAAAATTTTTCTCTATTCAAATCTTTTTCTGATATATTTAATAGATATAAATACTCTCTTTTGAATTAAGTAATTTATATTTATTTTCATGATTTTTAAAGCATAATTCACATAGATTATATCAAATTGAATAGTTGATGATGAAATTAATATTTTTATTTTTGTAACTATAATAAAAAATGTTTTAAATATACTTAGCACTCTTTTTAATACTTTGTTTCTAAATAATTGAAAATAGTTCAAATGATTTTTCGGCTTTTTTCATCAAATCTCTACTGCATAATCTATATAGAAGCTGTATAAACTATATATAATTGTTTTCTAGCTTGAAAAAAATAAATTTGTTTCTGTATTAAAAAGTCAAATTATATTATTTAAAGTATTTTCAGCCTGGGTTATTTTTTCAAAATAAACTTTAAAATTAAACTTTGAATTTAATCAAACTTCAAGTCATTTCACAGAGATTTTTGATCTTATAACTTTATCATTAAAAGTGATAATTCTATCTTTATTTCTTTATGTTAAACTAAATTAGATTATTTTCTTCTCTTTCAAAAATTTTCTATACAGCTCTTTCTATATTTTTACAATTCTCTTGTATAGAATTGAAACTGATGATAAAATCAACATCACCAACATAGCTAGAAGTGCTAATCATATATATGTTTTTATTTTTGAATAAATTAGCTATATATAGAGCAAATAATATATATAAAATTTAAATATCCCTGAGAAACTTCTATTATATTATTAATTTTCTCTTGTTTTAATACATAAAATAGAAACTGAATACTTCTTGTCATAAAACAAATAACTCATTTTATTAGAGACTTTGATAATTTTTAATTTACATTTATTCTATATATAATGATTTAAACTTCGTTTTAATGAAGTCATTATAAATATTTTTTAGTAATAATTTTTTTAATGTAATTATTTTCTATAATCATCATTTTTTTAATTAGCTTATATATATATATATTAATAATTTAAACATATCAATTTCTTGTGATTAAAGAAGATGAGATATATGAGCATATATAGAAATAAATAATTATATTATCTTTATAAAAATCATCAAATTCCTCAATCAAATGACTATTATTTAATTGACTCTAAGAGTAATAATAGAACAAAAGTGTATATTTGAAGTAGAATCTGTGTTATTTTATATAGAAACTTTAATCAGATTAAAAAGTATTTTTTATCTACATTCAGTAATTACCTAAGAAGATTTTTTTCTTCAATCTCTGTCAATTTATGATTATTTGCATAACTATGTTTTTGAGTACGGTTTGATGTCAACAAGTTGTTTGTGTAAATTTTCTTTGATTTATGTAGCAATGACCAACTGTATATGAGATTCTTAAAGATATTTTTAAATAAAAAATGTAAAGAAATTATGTGTTGAATATTTAATGATTTTCAAAGAGAATCTGCTGCTCAATAGTATCTGCCGTTTGGTGGTGGATTAGATTAACTAGCTATTAACTGACCTAATTACACACCCCTGACGAACTGAATACACCCTGAATGATAGTTCACCGGGAAATTATCTTCTCAACTGATAGTTAATTGAACTGAGAAGAATAGCTATCATTGATAATGAAACATCATCTATCAAAGTGACTTTCTTCATGCCATTAACAAGTTGTTTCATTGATGTATGACTTCTGGGACTCTAAGCCACCGGGTAAATGGGATTCCTAATCGCGTAGCCTCCAAGGTTATGAGTAAGACGACACAGAAATCCATTTCACTTTTCCTGCTTCCTATCAAGAATATCCATATATGGTCCTTTGACTCCGAGGTCATTGGCTCCGCAGACAACATGTAACGTTTAACGTATCATTGTCAGAAAAAGCGCCGCCAAAGGACATTGATTCTCTTCTAGCGGCTTCACCGACTGCATGGACTTCGAAAAATCACTAATTCTAATCATACAGAAACGCACCGGGTTCACCAAATGCCTAGCATGAAAGCGTTTCTCTTCCACTGCCCCTTATCGAATCATCCCAATGCAGGTAAACCGACAGACAGTCTGCTGTTGTGGTCTGTGATGGACTCTGTTCTCTCCATCTCGACTTAACCATCTGCGCATACTTTCTGCCTAAAGTCAGGCGGATTAGACCAACTAGTATATATGGGGATATCACTTCCATAAAATATCATTCACAACAACTCAACAAAATTGAATATATGTAAATGAATCTTTTAGATGTCAAATTAGCTGTGTAGACTTCCGATCAAGTTGGTCACAGAATATTTAGTAAATTCAAGGCGTCGGAGGCTCCCTCCATGCTGATCTGGATTTTGGCCCAGATTGTGATGGGTATGTGCTCTGTGTATTCATCACGTTAGGATAAACGGTGGAGGGGTTATTGGTCCCTTCAACGTAGAATTGCTGTTTGATGTACTCCGTATGTATGTATCTTCTCTTTGTTGAGGTCGAAGTTATTGAGCCCTGGCCTTTGAAGACGGTGAAGTCTGCTGAAAAAACCCTTGTCATATGATCAAAGAGGCAGCAATCCCGTGACGCGTAGACCAGCTTACTCAGCCCAGCCAAACTCCAGAAGTTAACTAGTTGGTTATCTCAAGTTCCATCAAGCTTTTCGGGAAGATATAGATAGTTATAGATATATTGTTTGATGCAGACACGATTGACTCTCTATATTCCTCCTCATTACCTCTGCTCCTCCTCTTTTATTCTCACAGCTCCCCTTAACGTGTATTCGCCCAAATCACCTCTCCTACTCCCCGTTAATACCATTCCGGCCCAACCATAACTCTAGATATGGTAAGTTTTCCACCGCCTCACAACAACTTAAGTAAATCACTAACCCGCCTCTTAAAGACGTCCATAGGCACCGGATATGATCTGTCGAACTCAGTCTTCTCTCCTGATGGCCGGAATTTCCAGGTATCCTCGTTGCGTCTCCTTGTTAGCAAACAAACAGCAGTGGTTCTTACATTCAACATCTAGGTTGAATACGCAGTCAAAGCAGTAGAGAACGGTGGCACATCCATAGGAATCAGATGCAAAGATGGTGTTGTCCTAGCCGTCGAGAAAATCATATCCTCCAAGCTCCTCAAACCAGGCGCCAACAAGCGCATATCTACTGTCGACAAACATATTGGCATCGTAAGCAACTTCCCTCGCTTCCCAGTGTCAATCTCTAATCCCACATATTTATATGTTGATATGTTGATAGGTATCCTCCGGCCTAATCCCTGACGGTCGACACTTCGTCGACAGAGCTAGAGACGAAGCCTACTCGTGGAGAAATACATACAAAGGCCCCATCTCCACATCCGTCCTCGCCAGCCGGTTAGGCAGTTATGTACAGGCATATACACTTTACTCCAGCGTTCGACCGTTTTGTGTCACGTCCATTATTGGTGGGTGGGATTCGGAGATAGAACTCCCCGTTGACGGACAGGTGGGGTCCGGACCCAAATCTGGTGCTGGCGGGAAGGTTCCTGGCGTGAAGGCTGGAGGGCCCGGATTGTATATGATTGAACCCAGTGGGCTTTACTGGGTGGGTTATTTTATTTATTCATTTATTTATTTTAAATTCCCGCTGTTGCCCATTGCATTCCTGATTGCAACCTCATATCTAACGGAATGTGAACAGGGCTATTACGGTGCTGCAACAGGCAAGGGACGCCAGGCTGCTAAAGCAGAATTGGAAAAGCTCGATCTCGCATCTGGCAACTTTACGCTAAAAGAAGGTGTCAAGGAGGCTGCGCGCATTATCTACGTTGCCCACGAGGATAGCAAGGATAAGGACTTTGAGTTGGAGATGACATGGATTAGTTCTATGGATGGGCCGACGAAGGGACGCCATGAGGAGGTGCCTAAGGAACTGCTTGAGGAGGCTATTAGGGATGCGAAGAAGGCAATGGAGGGGGATGATGAAGAAGAGGAAGAGGAGAAACCAGCGGAGGGAGGGGATAGGATGGAGGAGTAGCAACTTTTTTTTAATTTGATCGGGTCATGTTGCTATTTGTTACCTCTTCTGCGCATCCATTGCTGGTTATCGATTGATTTCCCCTTCTCTGAAACCCCCCTTCCAAGAGTTTATCTACCTGCAAGCTTCCTGTTCTCATGCGATGAATGGTATTTTTGATATATCCATGCGTGCAACCAACCCTCACACTTCGGCATAAGGTCTTTTAGAAATTTCATAAATCGTGTTCCTCTTTTCCCCTTTACTTGGTATTCATCAATCACAATGTCCTTTGCCAGTGAGAAATGGAACAGGAGGATCAATCAACTAAAAACTACGCCAGGAATACCTTCTTTTCTCCAGTACGAATACGAGGCAGTTCCATTCAATTAATTAACTTACTCTAGACTATGCATTCTTCCAGAAAAGCGAGATGTCAAATAAATAAAACCACATTATATAAACATAACATATGCGTGTCTACACCCTACGAAAACTTCCCCATTGCCCACTGCTTCCTCTTCACACCAAGCTCAACCGCAGCGCGTCCCCAGTCCTCCCCATGATTATGTCCTGCGCTCCCCTCCCCCTTCGCCAGACCCGCCCTCACCAGCGCTTGCTCCTCATTCAACACCGTCAACACCCCGAATATGACAGGTACGTCTTTATCGAGTTGTATGCGCATGAGGCCGTGGGAGACAGCATCGGCGATGTATTCGAAGTGCATTGTTTCTCCTTTTATTAGGGTGCCAATGGCGATCATCGCGTCGAAGGGCTGCTCGGACTGGGAGCCGGCGTATATTCTATATTGGGCCTTTTTTTTAATGCCATGATATCGCACCACTCTCCCCTTGCACCAAACCTCAAAGGAATCCCATAAATCGGATAATTATATCGCATTGAAAATCCACACCATGGCCGACACTCCGATCCAAGCAGACAATAAGAAAAGTATGGGAATACAATACCTCTCCATAGCAATAGGCAACTCCCAACTCCCCGGCACGCTCTGCACAACGATATTACTCCCCCGCACACCAGCGGCTAACAGAGCCTTCTTCGCCCCCTCCACCAGGGCGGCGATTATGGTGTCATTCCAGCGCGCGTGGACGATGGCGATGCGCAGAGTGGATCCTATACATATATATATATATATATATATTTGACATTTTGTTAGCAATTGGTTGGTATGGTGCGGGGTTATCGATTGCATTGGCGTGAGTGGCGTATGGTGTATTGCATACCGTCATGGATTTCAGAGACTCCCAAACCTTTGAGAGTAGCCATTTTGAGTAAAATTGATGTAGTGGGATGATATGAGAATTGAGGTTGTATAGAACCGTCCTACGGTGGTTGTTGAGGCTGGTAGGTGGTTGCGTGTGACTGGAGGGTTTGTTAATAAGCTTTTTACAACCCTGGATGCCGAAAGTCAATGGAGGATTAGGTTAAATATATCACCGGGAATGAAATGAAGGGGGCTAATTAGTTGATATTTTTATCCTTGTTAAACAGGGAAATAAGACTTAAATGGGAATTTAACTGATTCATTGTTAAAAAGGTGTGCCTCCTATCCTGTATTCATCAGCACATAGAGCAGGGCAAGCAGCATATTTAACTACGTGGAAATAACCGGACAATTCAATTTATTAATCATCAATCCATCAATTGAAACAAAAACAAGTAGAGCAGAGCAGAGCAGTCATTTAAAGATCATCTCGCCCAATACATGAATAACAAAACCCCTGCCACACTCCAAATGCTCCATTAATTATTCCTCCCCCATCAATCCATCAGTTTGCCCATTTATCAATTGACCCCATCCATCCCCGCAAATGACCAAACCCATCGTATAATTAGTACGTTCCGTCATTTATCGTTTCTTGTTTCCGTAATAATTCAACCTTGCAAAACGTGGGAATCGCTCAACACACATCCATGGAGAAGGGCCCAGATACAACAAACCCCCTCTCTACTCAACAGTAACAGACTTAGCCAGATTCCGTGGGAAATCCACATTCAGCCCTTCTGCCACAGCGAGCCAGTATGCAATCAGTTGTAGGGGGATAACATTCAGCAGACCCTGTAGACAATCGACGGTCTGAGGTACTTCGATGCGCTCCGTTTCAGATGCGGGAAATTCCTTGTCTCCTGTATTGCAGATCACAATTGGGCGACCGCGGCGGGCGATTACTGTTATATTACGTTAGGATTGATTGATCATATACATATACTGAGAGATCGTGAGACTGGGAAATGTAGATATAGTACGAACCTTGCTGATATGCGTTGAGTGACTTCTTGAAGATACCATCACGTGTCAGAATCATAATGATGGGTAGATTCTCATCGACCAGGGCGAGGACTCCATGTTTCAGCTCGCCAGACATGACGGCTTCGCAGTGAAGGTACGAGATTTCCTTGATTTTAAGGGCACCTATACGGCATTAGCAACTGTTAAAAGCATTTTGGGGCAAGGGGTAACAGGAAAGGTGGGTAAAATAAACTTGCCCTCTAATGCGGTAGAGAATTGACTCCCTCTCCCCAAGAGCAGCAGACTCTTCTGATTCTTAAAGAACTTCGCGCACATCTCCTTGATCGGTTCGCTTAGCTTCAGGATTTGTTTGAACTGATCAGACACCTTGGACAAGCCGTCCATGATATCCTCCCGTCTTTTCTGCTTGGACGCCCGGTCTTCACTCAGTGACAAAGCAAACATAATCATAGCGACGAACTGCGAGGTATATGCTTTGGTAGACGCGACTCCGATTTCCGGACCGGCGTTGATGTGCACACCGCAGTGCGTGAGGAGAGAAATGGACGATCCGACAACATTGACAATTCCGACAGTCAGGGCACCACGCTCAAGACAGTATCGGAGTGCCATCAGGGAATCAGCAGTTTCGCCGGACTGGGAGACGAAGACGCAAGTATCGTCTCGGAAGACAGGCGCTTGTCTATCTAGGAAATCGGAGGCGAGCTCGACGGCAATGGGGATTTCGGTTAGTTCTTCAAAAACGCCACGGACAGCCATGCAGGAATGATAACTGGTGCCGCAGGCGATGAAAATGATGCGTCTGCACCGGCGAATAGTGGTGATATACTGTCTCAAGCCACCGAGTGTAACTTTCTTGTTAGCAACGTCCAGACGGCCACGCATGGTGTTGACAACGGATTCGGGTTGCTCGAAGATTTCCTTCTGCATGAAGTGGTCGAACGTTCCCTTCATGATTTCCTGGAGTTCAAGTTCGATGGTCTGGATAGCGCGGACGTTGGAGGTTCCGTCGTGTTTAGTAAGACGGTGAATGTTCAATTGGCCCTCGTGTATGTGCGCGATGTCATCATCCTCAAGGTAGAGAACCTTCTTGGTGTGCTCGACAATGGCGGATGGGTCAGAAGAAAGGAAAAATTCAGCTGGTTGGGGGATACCATCGTCAGACAAGAAGGCGCGGGATTGAGAGCGATGGAGGAGGGATTTATCCGGAGGTGCCAACAGACTGGTGGCCGATTTCTTAATGGCAGCGTTCTGGGACGCCCGCTCCGCGGGTAAGGCACCGTCCTCCGAGAATTCAACGTCAACAAAGTCGACCTTCATCTTCCTCCCTGTGCGGACCCCGACTACCAGAGGAGAACCCTTGCGAGCCGCGATGACTTCGTGGGGGTAGTGGACAGATTTCAACAGCAGCCCAAAAGCACCCTGGAGCTCCTTGACGACAGCTTTCGCAAGCACGGTGAAATCAATGTCTGGGTGTTGGTCGTAGAGGTACTTGGCCAATTTAGCTATACACTCCGTATCAGTTTCGGTCTCGAAGCGGAAACCCTTGGACTCTAGGAGAGCCTTGAGCTCCCTGTAGTTAGTGATAATGCCATTGTGAACGACAGAGAATTCCCAGTTAGGATCAGATCTAAGATTGTTTGTTAGTTTCGGTAGGTAATTGAAAAGAAAAAGGGTGTTATTTAACACGGGAGATGTGTTACCTATGTGGGTGACAGTTGATTCTGGAAGGGGTTCCGTGAGTTGCCCATCGAGTGTGAGCGATACCAGCATGAGAATCAAAGGTCTTTGAGAGGTCCAGCTCCGAGCTGTCAATGAGATCTTTCAGCTTGGCTACCTTGCCTACTTCCTTGAAAGCAAAGACTTCATTTTTCTTGTCTCCATCGACAGCAAGACCGGCTGAGTCGTAGCCTCTGTATTCGAGTCTCGAGAGGCCTAGGGAATGTTAAGTTAGAAGAGGGGGGATTTTCACACGTATGAGCTAAATTAAATGAAAGGTCAACGCACCATTGACCAGAGTCTGAAGGATATAGCTGCGGTCTTTCTCGACCAGGTAGTTGATGTATCCGAATATGCCACTGGAGACGATTTATGTTAGCCTTGAACTGCAGGGAGAGGGAAGGGCGGACGTGTACATACCACATGGTTTCTTAAAGGAAATTGTATAAGGGAATTAGATTCAGGGGGAGGGCAATTGTTCAGGAATGTGGCTTTAGTAAATCAAAGAGCGGTGATGAGAACGCGAGGGAGCGCGAGCGAGTGAAGTCGTCAGAGCGGGGTAGCTATGGGTCCTTGGAAAGTGGGAAGACGGGAGAGGTAACTAGCTGGGGAGAACAGAAAGAGAGAAAGCAAGAATTTGTGTCTATGAGAGAGAAATGGAGAAAAGGACATATAAACAAACAAAGAATGATTGTTCAGCTGGAAATTAGAGAGCGAAAGAAAAGAATAGGGTAGAAGAGAAAGAAGAACAAGAAAAAGAAAGAAGACGACTGAAAAGATGCGGTGAGATCGGAAAAGTTGTAGGAGGTCAGTCGGACGGAGGGTGTTGCCCGGTTGGGCGTGGCGTTAGGATAGGCTCTGGTAGTGGCAGTTGGGCGGTGGGGCATGCCACGGTTCCTTGACTGGCCAGGTTATGATACATGTTCCACCCTGTTCATCGGGATGGGTATAACTGCCCCTTATTGCCCCCACTCGGCTTGCCCTGTGAATGCTGTTGGCTGAGCTCAAGGGCCAATACTGTTATTTGTTGTGTCTAGTTTATTAATTGGTTTGGTTTGGTTTAGTTAATTCCACAAATATTTTGCTTACGTACACTCTGCGGGACTAACTACGAAACTTCATGGAGGAACGGGTGTGGAAGATGTCCAGTGAATATCGATTACCATCTTTTTAATCTCTAGTCTTTGTCATTTTGCATACGTGGTATGTCACTTGCTGCTTGGTAACTTCTGGCACGTAGCCAGGGCTCCCTTTGAACGGTTGAAACAAGACCTTTCCAACACCCGCAGCGGTGCGAACCGAGAGAAAAAAAAACCCAAAGCAATTCAAAATCCAACAAAACAAAACAAAACAAGACGGAACCAAAAAAAAAAGGGAAAAAAAAGGGAAAAAAAAGGAAAAAAAGGAAATGAAAAAGAAGAGGGGCCCGGACATCTCCCTCCAATTCATAGCGGAATTACACGGTGGCGGTGCCCAACTTTTAAAGACCGGTATCACATTCCGCCGTCTGTCTATCCTTGGAACGGCTGCTTGCAGAAACTAACCTCACACGCCATTTGCTCTATCGCTAACAGGGGATCCCCGAATTCCCCGCAGATTTAAGCTTGAGCTACCCCTCCATCGTCAAACTCCTGGAAAACTAGTTCAATGCGACGCAAACCGCCCCCAAGTTTTTAGTAGATCTGAGACCGTGTTGGGCTGACAATAAGATTTCCTTGAACATGGGACTGCTATGCACGTTGCGTTTGACGTCGGGTCCGGGGACGATATGTAAAATTGCGGATAGGCAGCATCAAGTTTGGCATAAGGCGCATTCATTTCATAATTCATTTCACAAAATCTGTTTCTTCGGTTCATTCTTAAATGTGAATGAAGGGCATGAAATGTTCTCTATTTCTTCTTTCTCTATTTTTCTCCTGCTCCTTTGTTTTCATCAATCACATACAGAACAAAACAAGGGGCAAGAAAGGAACACAAAAATAATAGAATAGATAAAAGGTCTCACATTCTGGTAGTGCAACCTGCTAGTTGACAATACCCCCATATCAATAACTCATGATCAATCGAACACTGAATCAGGACGGCCTTAGCAGAGACACAGAATAGCAGCCACCGCGGCTGTGAGGCGCCACTGAGGAAGAAATATGGTTTTTGTTTTTTTCTTTTTTCTTTTTTTTTTTTTTTTTCTCTTTCTCTTTTTCTTTTCAATTTTAACGCTTCCTGACCCCCCAACTCTGAATAGCTGTCACCGCAAGGGCCCGTCTTGGCGGATAATTTGGTCGGGTTCCTAGATCGCACGCCCTTCGACTTGGCAGGAACACAGCGCTCCACCGTTGAAGCTGTGCCGATGCGTGTAACTGGAACTCTATCGGCAATGGCAGCACCCGGGATATTGCGGCTGAAAGAGATACAAAAGCTCCTAAGAATAAACGTTTGGGGTTGTCTCAGATATCATAAACCTCGGACGTTATTTTTATCATCAAAGCGAGGGGGCCGCGGTTCGCGACTGTCGGGACTCGGGATAAATATTTATCCAGGAAACACTAGGGCAGCTGTTTTTTGGTAATAACCTTTCTTGCTCCTGTCATAAAAGGTTTCCCAACCCTTGAGATGTGGGACCCTTCAGTCACGGAATCTAATTTCCACCATATGCAAGTCGTTCTCTTAAGTGAGCAAACCTTTTGCAGTCGATTCATCAAGCTTGCCATTCTGTCATTATATCCATATCGTTTTGACTTATTTCGAAGTTCTACTTTTTCTATCCCCTCATTAGCTCTCAAGGTTTTTTTACCTTCCTTCCCATGATATGACAGTGACAGTGGAGTCTCCAATCCATTCTTTAATAAATAAGGGCTCTGAATGGGCATCAATGATTTTGATGAAGTTGATATATTCAACCCGCAGCAGCTGGAAAATCTGGGATATGAGCACTGATCTCGTGGTATTGCACGGAACACAACATGGACCCTATTACATCACACCTTCATCAAGCCCTTTCCATTTGAGATCCCAACGAAGATGTCATGAGGTCTCTCACAATGGCGTGGATGATGAAACCGGATAAAAACTCCTCGCACTAGTCCCGCCGACTGCGCATATGGTAATGAAGTTCACTTTTCCCGCTTCCCCACGATCCCCACAATTCTAGGTTCGCTGAAGGGGAGAGACTTTTTCTTGCACCCGACAACCCAAACTAAGGAGGGCAGAAACGAAGAGAAATATAAAGGGATCATTTCAATATGGGAAGACCTCCATTCAGCCTGCCAGAATTAACTGTTGGAAACTTTCAAAATTCAGAGCTAAGGCTGGTCTCACAGCATATCTTCATGTCGTCAATTATATATAGACTAGGCACGTAGCAAATGAGAAATCTCCATCTGAGGGGAGTAGTTGTTGTTTTTTGGGTATAAGTCGACATTTTCTAACGCCATCACTTGCTAAACAATATAGAGATATGGGTTAGAAATGAAACAGTTTTGCAAATAGCTGAGTTGTGATTTTCAAGAGCTGGCTGGCACTTGATATATTTTTTTTAGAAATGCCCAGATGATGCTAAAATACTGTAAGATCTTAAAGTTAATCCAAAATATTGCATTTATGCCATAAATAGCATGGATTTTGAGTGTGAATGAAGAATAGAGTGCTGAAACTTGACTTGACTCTCACATACATTATAGTAGGATACATAGAGCCTATATTCGGGCTCCTGCTAAGAATGTGATATTTTTCAAATTCCCATGATTACTGCAAGCTCAAAGAGATAAAAAGAGCTGACTGAAGCAAATGATATTCCTCACTGATTATTCAGAAGATGTGAAATAGAAAAGTTAAAATATAAAAATAAAAGATGACTTCAGAGGGACAGCATAACACATTCAACCTAGCATGAACTGGGGCCTGAGAGACGACAGTGGGACCCTTCTGGAGCACAGGGGTATGTATTTGTATAAGGTCCCGGAAGCTGCTGGAAGTGGGTCTTCTTTTCTTGCTTTCTAGTGGGATTCTGTCGATAAACTCAATAACCAGATATGCTGAAACACAAAGGTGCCCAGGATATATATTAATTCTAGTCCGTGGGGATTGGAGAAATTTATGACAGCAATGTCCCTAATTCACGGCCTCATTCTGAAGTTACACCTCATGAATATGAAAAGTTATGACGAACGAAACAACAACGTCAGAGCAAAGATTCAGTTGTGGAGATTGTCAACCTGTGAAGTGCAATATACATCGCCTCTGCTGCTAATCGTTATTCACTCTTCTAATAGCCCACTATCCCACGTTCATCAGGCCTACCACTCTTTCAAACTTCCATCGACTTCATCTACATATGCATACAGTTTGTTCCTAACCATGAATGAACCCGTCATCCCACAATACAAACTTCAGAGAGAACGCACATAGAACTCCTCAGTCTGGCTAATGGTGTGTTCTTCATACGCAAGTAATATATACCCATTCTTCAACCTTAGCAAAAATATAGGGTGGTCCTCCAGGTGGTCAGACGAGCGAAGGGGCATAATCATAACGTCGAAACCATGGGCGGTCGAAGAGGATAGTGTGAGAGCATGGGCGATAGTAACTCTTTTGTTGACGGCCATACATGTATGGGGCCGGAATCCTAAAAGTCAGTGGATAGGCTGATGGTATTTTGAACTGAACTAACTGGGAGATGAGCTAGTCGTCCTGACAGCTGCGATCGATTTGTAGGCCATCCTCACGCCCACTGGATCTGGGCAGAGAAACCGTCTGTAAGCCAGGAGATATACCAACAGAACTGGAACATAGCTGACCTCCAAGTGTGTATAAGTATATTGTTTTGGATAGAATAATCGTGGTCGGGCTGTGTCTTGAAGTGCTTTGTTATATATGTATTTGTTTCTCAACCTCTCTCTCACCTTACACTTTGTTCACCGGGAAACAAATGTTTCATGTTTGCTAGCCAGACAGACACCAAGAATGAGCGAAGTCTGGGTATTGAACAGCCGCTTGATGAAATATCAATGTTCCATGCCTAAATGGCTGGTGCGCTGGTATGGGAGATCGCCTTGCCTCACGGACATATTTATTGCGGAGACGTCGGGGAGGAGGAATCGTCGACTATTTTCATCAAAAAGCACTATCCAACCAAACGGAATAAATAAGAATAATCAATATATGAGTTCCGGGCGAAAACATGCTGTTTAAAGACTGCTTCAAGGCTGTGGATAAGTCTTAAAGGCATCCATTCCCGCAAGTGGCGCAGGTTCCGACTCACTAGGTAGCAGATGCATCGAACATCCAGCCTTTCTGGGTGTGAATGTGTTAAATATTGGAGATAGGCTCAACGAGACACTTAACGGAGATGATTTACGGCGGAGGAGAGGAGATTGGATCATCAAAACGTTGTGTGCGGTGATGCAGGTCTTTGTTCGGTCGGTATTTA